TACCCCATGTTGCAGAAAGTATTTGGTAGCTTTCATGTTCATCATTATGATGAGAATTTAATCTTAGTATATAGAGACCAACCTGTTGATGGAGCCCAGTTTCCAGCAGTATTAACTATTTAGTAAACACCTTTAACACGGTGCAGGTGTGTTTATAGCCCGATGAATAAACCTAACCTGTAGTCTTCACTCTAATTCATCGATAAGTTGGAGATCAGGACTCTGTTCAGAGTTTCTCGACACCGAACTTCAAAAGTATGCAGATATGGAAGCAAATGTATTGATTTAATGGTGTCAACCAATACTTTTGAAAAACTCTAAAGCTTTTTACCCCAAAAAAATCTTTCCTCAGCTTTTACCCTACTACAATCTTTTCCATTCTACCAATACAGGGTTTCTTATCAAAACAACAGTTAAATCTTATGACATCATTTTGGTTGTCATAATCCATTTTTGCTTAGAAAAACTGATCCCTTTTATGAGAAATTAAATAATGGAGTTTACCGTAAATATTGGTATTTTGACTCAAGGTTATCATGCACTTAGAATCTCATGGCGATCTCTGTCTGAGCAGTTTTTTGCATCATTTCTTACCGTGCGATCTCAGCACTGTGGGTGGACCAGCTGTTGAACCCTTCTCCTTCATGGTTCTCCTCATCAGAGTTGCGGCTGCGTGGTTTCGGGTGCTGGGCGACTATTGGGTGGGACCGAGGCCGACCGTGGGCACTATGAGAAGCTGAGGAAGGTTGGGAGCGTTTGTGTTTAAGATCACTCCAGTTTGATTCATACTCTTCATCTGAGGTAGAAGTATAGTCAGAGCCCTTGTGTCGCCTCCTAGAGCCTTGCCGTTGTGAGTTGGTTAGAGTTATCCAAAAAAAGGACAGAGAAGTGGGGAAAAGGAGAGAAAAGAAGGTGCAATGAAAGATTCCTTTTAGAAAACATACCACCACGTTCATCTGATAGGAGTCACCAACATATTTCCCAGAGCAGAGACAGAAAAGATGCTGCAGAGATCCTCATCTCAACATCTATAATCTTAGTTTTCTTTTAAGGTGCTCAAATGATCCTAAACCCTACATGAGCAGAAAAATACCACAGATGATGACAAACAATGTGTGAAACTTTTACATGTTCCATGAACCTTTCGTTTATTAGAGCTCTGAACAATCTATGTATTTTTATATCCATCAGTTTTAAATAACACTGTATGAAAACCCAGAGCAGATGTGAAAGTGTTTTTGTGAATACTTTGTAGTTAGTGTTTTAGATGTTAGTAAAATACCCAAACCAGCTTTTAACAAACAAAAAGTATTAGAAAACAACAAAAACAACACTAGTAAACTGTGTTGGATTTCTAAATGTAATACTTTATAAACCAGGGGTCACCTACACGGTGCCCATGGGCACCAAGGGGTCCTCCAGGACCACATGGGGTGCCCCTTAGCATCTTCTAAAACAGAACAACTCACCAATGGACTAATTATGAAATGTTATTTTATGCTGCTCTTATTTGGCTACTCTTTTTTTGGCTACTCTTATTTTTTCATTTGTAGAACATTTGATCATATCATAATTTAATTTCAACATTTAAGCATTTATAGAGATTTAAAAATGACAATATTTAAAAGCAAATAAAAAATGAAAAGTAACAATAGAAATGTTTATTAACTATGAAGTTGTCAATACTTGTAGCCCATCCTATGACTCACTATTCATGAAGAAGTCATAAAAAGGTTGGTGACCCCTGTTGTAGACCGTAAGCTGTTTAGCTCTTATTCCATTTCTTGTTTTAACACATGTTATAAATATAAAATCGAACACAGGGCATGCTTTGGTGGCGCAGTGGCTAGTGCACACAACCCATGTATGTAGGCCTTAGTCCTTGACGTGGCCGACCCGGGTTCGACCTGTGGTCTTTTGCTGCATATACCTCATACCCCCTTTCCTGTAAGTCTGCTGTCCAAACAACGGCCATTAGTGCCGTAACATGAAGCATCATCATCCCTGTTCTTTTACAGGACCCACTTTTCTAATGTGATCAGCATTTCCCTCCCTCAACACATCTGACATTTCTTAATGAAAGGGATACTTAATGAGGCTCTGCAAACATTGGATTCAGATGTGCTGAGGCAAAGATGCATTTAAAAACAAAAATGAGTTACAAAGACCAGGGTTGAAGATTTCTGCTTTAGTCAGTAAATGGAGAGAGAGGGGTCCATGGATCTAATCCAGTCATCCAGTCAGACAATGTTTGAATAAAGGTTCAGATTTAAAGACTGATCAATGCAGAAATATCTGCCATGAGTCAATTTGAAACCTTTCTATGTATATAATATGTATATAATACTAATATTACAATTCAATATTATATTACTATTTATGAGAGCTAAAATTACATGATGGATGGATGGATGGATGGATGGATGGATGGATGGATGGAT